CTTGCAAAGTTGTTTTGATTCCAGCTTTTGTCTATTTTGGGATTGGTCTTTTTTTCTGTACAACTCTTCTGAAGAAATCTACCATCAACACTTTTGATGAGCAATTTATCAAGCACCAGTATAAAACGTTTTAGGTTCAACTTCCTGAGTCGGAAGGTGGAAAAAAATGTAATTAAACAGACTTCACCTCAGGCCGTACCAAGTGACTATTAATGCAATGTCACACAAGATGCTGATATAATTCAGGTCAACTAATCTCAAATTAATTAATAAATAATGTTGCCGTTGGTTAAGAGTAAACTAATTGTATTCCTAACTGGCAGTTGCCCATCACAGCTCTCAGCTGTCATCACGGGGACATACTTGTCCCCGTGTCTGATCTTGCCCAATGACCTGTGTTACGCTGTCCCACTTGCTGGCTCATCATGAAAAGGAGTGACTGGGTAGCAGTCTTTACGGGAAGGCTCTCCCGTTTTGGTTGTTAAAGCATTCTCTGTCCGCATGGCGCCACTGAAACATACTCAGACATTACTGTTGGCCGTGTTCAAATGCACCACAAGTTGAAACATAAAGAGGAAGCACATAGCTTACAGCGGGCCTGATTAGCGTACCCGCTCCAAAGCGCCACATTTCAAAAGAACTGGTGAGACCGACCACCGCCCGGCCGACCCCGTCTCATTTACCGCTCCGAAATTTCGAGAAGCAGGCTACCTCCGCAGACTCTTCAGTGTCCGGACTATTTAAAAACAAAGATGTCAGAAATGATTTAATAGTTTCCATTTGTGGAAAACAACTCCCGCTGGTTCATGTGAGCGGTGCTTGCGGCTAAAAAGATAGAAGCTAACAGCGAGCACCGGTGTTAGCAAACTTTAATTAGCAGCGTCACGATGTGGAGCATAAAACTCGACGGTTTTATGTATCTAAACATAATGTTCATACATTTTTGACCATCGAAAAATGTATGAACATTAACTACAGCGGGTCGAGTAGATATGTTTGTTTTTACACGTATTAAGGTTGTAAAAAGCCACCCAGAACGCTAGCCGAAGTTTCGTAACTCCCCCCACCACCTCATTCAAAGCGGAGAAAGGCTTCCCACGGCGCTGCTAGCCCGCCGCTAATGCCGCGGCCAAACACATAAATAACACATCTGAAAGTGAAGCGTTACACTCAAATATACCGAAATATAGCACAAACTCACCTGTTTTAATATGCATCTCTTTTCGCTTGATGTGTCGTTGAAGCTAAACCGTTGAGTAACTTGTTTACAGCGTTGAGATAACGACAGCAGCCTGCTCGTAACCACCACCCGGAAGCGACACGAAAATGTGGGTGGGACAGGAAGTGCCTGCAGATAAGTTGTCCGGCGGGAATCTCGCCGTGAATTTAACCCTCCACTTCACACATTGTGATAGTGTATGCTTAAAATTGTTCAGCATTATTTTCTGACACATTTTGGACCATTTTATTGCCCAAAAAAAAAAAAAAAGTTATATTTCAGACACCCGTTTCCGAGATATATCCACAACTTGCCCCTAGGCAACTAGGCTTGTATAAAACAGAGGCAATTACTAACTCATAGATCATTACACAATTGTTGGAAAGCAATAAAAACATAAGAAAATCGTCCAAAAATGTCAACCAATTTTGATCAAAGAATTGAAAAAACACATTTAGATTATTTAGCTTTATGGCTTGATACAGGCTTAAGTTCGAATTGTCCAATATAATGTCATATTGATTCTCATGTTGTGAGACTTTGCTGTCATTCTGTGTGAAACTTGATAAAAACAGTTCTTTTGTGCTGTAAAACAGAGCCGCACACTTTATAGACATTACCTCTGTTTTTTCTGTGCACCCGGGAACCCTGCATCTTGCCTTGTTCCATTCAATTCAATTTATATTGTAATGCAATTAACCTATAACAATGCAGAGAAAACCCTGACAATTAGACGAGCCCCTATTTGCTTATAGGGGCTCGTCTAATGGCTACAGTAGAAAGGGAAAACTCCCTTTTAACAGAAAGAAAGCTCCGACAGAACTAGACTCAAGGATGGGCGCTGTGGGTCTCTGCTTCCTTGTTTTCTCTTCATGCTTTTGAGATATCCCACACTGGATTTGCACAGACTTTGAGCAATTTTGCATTTAAAACCACATTTTCATTTTCAGGTGCCCCTACACCTGGAAGCTCAGACAGATGGACACACTTTCCAATGTGGGATTGTAAAAATAATAATCTGATATCATTATTATTACTTGGTGCTACATGAAATAATATTATTATGAAAAAACACACAGTTATCAAAGTCTTCCTCAAAAGTACCCCTTATCGCACAAAGAAAAACTGAATTTCTGATCAGGCAAAGTAAAAAAAACAAAATTAAAAACAAAAACGCTCTCCACATCTTCTTACACTCACACGTATTTTTGATTTACAGTTTATGTCATTTTAAATATGATTACTAGAGGAAATATTCTTACCTTCTTCTCACATCATGCGATCGTGTCACTGTGTCAGAAAAGGATGCCCGATGTTCAAATCACGCTTCATAGTGATTCCCACATCTTATTGAACTGAAATTAGATACCTTTCCAAACATTCTGATTGATCATTTAAGTTCACATGTACTGGGCCTGAGGCTTAAAAATGTTCTGTGTTGTGCTGTAGAGGATTAATGTACAAAACAGACTACCATGACAACTCATGTGAAAATCATGTGGACACTTTATGTCAGATACAATTTTGTGATTATTATTGTTACAACACTCATTACATTACTTTTTCATTATTCCACAAAATGTCCTGAAATGTATTTTCTTATAATTACAGTTAACCCCTCTGAGGTAGTGTTAGAGCATGGTTCTTAAGCCCAGGTCCTCTGCCAGAGGCCTGGAAGTTCGAGGGTTCTGCACGGTATCTTTGCTGTTCGGTCTGCAGTTTTCTGAACAGACACCTCTGTCTCTGACCTCTGTGACTGTGGAATCTTTAGAGCCAATCTTACAGCTTGGCAGTTGCAGCTCTTAATGCTTCTATTGCCACCGGGACCAGTTGTTCTTCTAGCCAATGTTACTTTTCCTGTGCTCCATCCTGATGTTGCTTTCAGCTGGGATTGCCACACATGTCACAGCTGTGATCTTCTGTTCCTTCCAAAGCACCACTATATCTAGTTGGTGGCCAGCAGCTGCTTTTCTTAGCCCTGTGTTCTCAACCACCTTTGGTGGTAATGATAATTGGAGACTTCTAATCTATATAATAATAATGGATTGCATTTACAGTGGCTTGCAAAAGTATTCGGCCCCCTTGAACTTCTCCACATTTTGTCACATTACAGCCACAAACATGAATCAGTTTTATTGGAATTCCACATGAAAGACCAACACAAAGTGGTGTACATGTGAGAAGTGGAACGAAAATCATACATGATTCCAAACATTTTTTACAAATAAATAATTGAAAAGTGGGGTGTGCATAATTATTCAACCCCCTGAGTCAGAACCACCTTTTGCTGCAATTACAGCTGCCGGTCTTTTAGGGTTTGTCTCTACCAGCTTTGCACATCTAGAGACTGAAATCTTTGCCCATTCTTCTTTGCAAAACAGCTCCAGCTCAGTCAGATTAGATGGACAGCGTTTGTGAACAGCAGTTTTCAGATCTTGCCACAGATTCTCGATTGGATTTAGATCTGGACTTTGACTGGGCCATTCTAACACATGGATATGTTTTGTTTTAAACCATTCCATTGTTGCCCTGGCTTTATGTTTAGGGTCGTTGTCCTGCTGGAAGGTGAACCTCCGCCCCAGTCTCAAGTCTTTTGCAGACTCCAAGAGGTTTTCTTCCAAGATTGCCCTGTATTTGGCTCCATCCATCTTCCCATCAACTCTGACCAGCTTCCCTGTCCCTGCTGAAGAGAAGCACCCCCAGAGCATGATGCTGCCACCACCATATTTGACAGTGGGGATGGTGTGTTCAGAGTGATGTGCAGTGTTAGTTTTCCAGCCACACATAGCGTTTTGCATTTTGGCCAAAAGTTCCATTTTGGTCTCATCTGACCAGAGCAGCTTCTTCCACATGTTTGCTGTGTCCCCCACATGGCTTGTGGCAAACTGCAAAGGGACTTCTTATGGTTTTCTGTTAACAATGGCTTTCTTCTTGCCACTCTTCCATAAAGGCCAACTTTGTGCAGTGCACGACTAATAGTTGTCCTATGGACAGATTCCCCCACCTGAGCTGTAGATCTCTGCAGCTCGTCCAGAGTCACCATGGGCCTCTTGGCTGCATTTCTGATCAGCGCTCTCCTTGTTCGGCCTGTGAGTTTAGGTTTACAGTTGTGCCATACTCCTTCCATTTCTGAATGATGGCTTGAACAGTGCTCCGTGGGATGTTCAAGGCTTGGGAAATCTTTTTGTAGCCTAAGCCTGCTTTAAATTTCTCAATAACTTTATCCCTGACCTGTCTGGTGTGTTCTTTGGACTTCATGGTGTTGTTGCTCCCAATATTCTCTTAGACAACCTCTGAGGCCGTCACAGAGCAGCTGTATTTGTACTGACATTAGATTACACACAGGTGCACTCTAGTCATTAGCACTCATCAGGCAACGTCTATGGGCAACTGACTGCACTCAGACCAAAGGGGGCTGAATAATTACGCACACCCCACTTTGCAGTTATTTATTTGTAAAAAATGTTTGGAATCATGTATGATTTTCGTTCCACTTCTCACGTGTGCACCACTTTGTGTTGGTCTTTCACGTGGAATTCCAATAAAATTGATTCATGTTTGTGGCTGTAATGTGACAAAATGTGGGAAAGTTCAAGGGGGCCGAATACTTTTGCAAGCCACTGTATATAGCACTTTTTTAGGCACCCAAAGCACTTCACAATTCCACTATTCATTCACGCACTGGTGCAGGCAAACCACAGTTGTAGCCACAGCTGCCCTGGGGCAGACTGTCAGAAGCGAGGCTGCCATATCGTGCCATCGGCCTCTCTGACCAACACCAGTAGGGTAAAGCGTCTTGCCCAAGCTTTCTTTTTCCTTTTGAACTACATGTTTTGTCTCTCTTTAGACCTCTACAAGTTATTTAAAGCACAATCAAAATAACACAGTTCACTGTCATGAATATGCTGCTACAGAATAAAAAATATTCTAAACTTAGCTATCCAACAAACAGGATAGCTAAGACTGGGCTGTAGACATGCAAAGCAAACATTTAAAGCCTGCTTCAGTGTGATATTCAGCACACTGACTTCGTGTTTAATCTTTAATTCAATTTGATGAGCCAAAATATCAGAGCAGTCACTGCTGATGTACCTTTAGAGACAATGTATAGATGATGTCCAGCTTGAGTGGACTGCTAACATCCTACAAGATGATCTGTAATCTATTATTCTGCCCCAGTGATATTTACACAGATGGATGAGTTAATCAACATGTAAAACACTAACAACACAGTAATTTAACAGAAGCTCACATTGGATGCAGTCCTCATCCTGTGCCAGTGGTTTCATCTAAAAAAAAAAAATCTGTCCTCAAGATCCTTCTTCCAGATTCTTCCACTTTTGTAACTTCCCTTTCTGTACCTCATTCAAATTTCTTTAGCCATCCTCCTCTTTTCTGTAATTCAGATGTTACACTTTTTTTGCTCTCTGCTTCTGTGCTTTTAAAGATTACAAATGGTTTTCTTGATAAGCCAAAACATAAACCCATAAATCCTCCATGTAGTGTTTTCAGTGGGAAACATGTTTCAGGACTCTACAATACAAAGCAAACACCATCCCCACAGACAGAGCGGCCAGGAAAGCAGAAGAACACCATGTCAAAAAGGCCCTGAGTAAATGTGGTTATTCCAGCTGGCCATTTGTCAAAGCTGGGAAGACACTTAAAGAAAGCTCCAGGCAATCCAGGAGAGGAGGAGGACAATGTAGGCAAAAAGCCTTAGTGATCTTATGTGTCATGAGTATTGGAACAGCTGACATACATTTTCTCAAAATACTGCCTATCTGTGGCTTTCAAACCCCAAAACACGTTGCGCCAAAAATTGGTCCGCCGCAAAGATCCACTCCCCTGGCACAAACACAGTAATATAGTGCCAGGAAGATTGCCGTGAATTATACATCAGAGAAACCAAACAGAGCACCAAAAAACAAAACAAAAAAATACACACAGTGAACTAATTTAAGGCTCTTTTTATTTTAAATGACAACAGTTATGTTGGAGCAACGAAGTGATTTTCTCCCAATAGCTCAAGGACTCAATAAATCCACCTTCTCTGAGTGTGTGCGCATGTGTCTCTTCAGCCTCGTAGACGTACAGAAGCCCTTCTTACAGAATGCGCAGCTGTGTGGCTTCTCGCCGGTGTGAGTCCGTACGTGTATGTTGAGGTCTGATGAGCACCTGAACCTCCTCTCACAGTAAGAGCAAGGGTACGGCCTCTCTCCGGTGTGTGTGCGTTTGTGCAGGAGCAGCTCCCCAGAGGTCAGGAAGGTTTTCCCACACTGGGAGCATGAGTGTGGTCGCTCCCCCGTGTGAGTCAGGTTATGTCGGACGAGCGAGGTGGACTTGGAGAACCTCTTTCCGCAGCGGCCGCATTCGAACGGGTGCTCGCCTATGTGGCTGTGGAAGTGTTCACTCTGAGCGCGCTTGGTTTTAAAGCTCTTCGGGCACTGAGGACAGCTGAAGGGCCGGAAGTTGCTGTGGATGCGCTGGTGCCTCACAAGCTCTCCGTGAGTGAGAAAGGACTTCTGGCAGGTGGTGCAGAGGTATGGCCGCTCCCCTGTGTGGATTCTCTCGTGGCGTGTGAGGCTGGCCAGCTGGGTGAAGCTCTTCTCGCAGTATGAGCACTGGAAAGGCCGCTGGCCATTGTGAGTCAGGAGGTGCCTGTTAAGGATCTGAAGCTGCGTGAAGCTCTTTCCACACTCTGCACAGGGGTAGGGACGCTCTCTGCTGTGGGTCTGCTGGTGCTTATTCAGAAGCCACACGTGGGTGAAGCTTTTCCCGCACTCGCATGGAAATGGCCGCTCACCTGTGTGCTTCATCTGGTGTCTCTTCAGGTCCGAGGCTCGGCCGTAGATCTTCTCACACATGGGACATTTGTACTGACGCCTTACGATGTGCCTCTGCCTGTGCTTCAGTCGATCCAGGATGCTGCTAAAGCTCTCACCACATTTCTGGCATTTATACTGACCGCCCCCCTTCTCTGACACCACCTCTGTCACCACCACCTCTGTTGTTAGGTCTAGCTGAGGGTTGCAGGTCTGGCCACAAGCCGTTCGCTCAGAATGCAGTTTGAGCAGCCCCATCTGAGTGAACCGTTTGCCGCAATGAGAGCAAAGGAAGGGGCGCTCTCCAGTGTGGATGCGCTGATGTCTGGTCAGATCCCAAGAGTTCTTGAAGCCCTTCCGACACTCCTCACAGGTGTACGGGCGCTCGCCCGTGTGGGTCCGCTGGTGACGAGTCACGTCCGAGACCCGCGTGAAGGTTTTGCCGCACTCCTGGCATGTGTGTGGGTCAGGCCTATCGTGGATGGGGAAGGGCTTTGGGAACTGAGGAGGGAACGTCTTCTTGGGGGTCTCACATGTCTGTGCCGCCCTCTGGAGTTTGGCGTATTGTTCAGGATGGCTGTGCTCAATGTGCTGCAGCAGGTAGGACTCTTGCATGTGGAAGAAGGGACACTCTGAGCAGGCAAAGACCTGGGTGGACATCTCCACTGTGGTGCCTACAGAGAAACACAAAAGTTAAAATGTGCAACAAAAAAAGAGAGAAAAACTCACCTTAAAGTGTAGATGCCTCATCTAAAACTTTAAATGACAGTTATTAAAAGTGAGACAGCAAACCTTGAACAGCTTTAAAGTGACTAACTGATTTACCTTGGGTGCTGAGGTGCTCAAGGCATTTGTGGTGTTGCAGGAGAGACTTGAGGTCACTGGGATTGGAGAGCACCTGCAAGCAGTCCTTCAGTACAGAGGGGGCAGAGGTAAGCCAGGAAACAGTCTGTTTGATTATGGAAAAAAAAGATTCAGTCTGAAGAAGTTTAAATTCCAAAAGACAACTGTTTTGAAGAGAAGGAGGGGGAATGGTGATTAAATATGAGACGTGACCAAATAGTCTCGGGAACCAGCTCACTAAAATAAAATAACTTTATCTGATTGAAATTTCCCCAATCTCACCTTCAAGATCATCTTCTCATGCATCACTGGACTGCTTTCACTCTGGCTGTTGGTCTTTTACCTGGCTTCTTGGGAAACCTGTTCTGTCCCTGTTTACTTACAGACTGGATCTTTGTTGGAGGATCACAGTTTGTTAAAACAGTAATCCTTCAATGTGATATTCATTCAGGTGAGTCAGTGAAGTCTTGGGGAGTACTGAGTGAAGACACAGTCCTACTAACAATCAGCCAACTGCAACTAAATGCAACACTTTTACAGCAGAGCTGTGCACTGACAGTTTTCACCCTGTGGGTACAAATTCAAACGTGTAAAATCCAGTGAATGCTGGTGAAAATCAGGGAGGTTCCTGGTAATTAATTTCTTAATCGACCAAACAATGAAAAAAATACTTGATTAACTGCTGAGTAGTTGAAAACTAAGAAGAAAAAACAAACACTGAAAAGGCTAAAGATAGGAAAAATGTATGTATATCTTTAATACTACATGCACAAACTACTAATACTGTTACTCATCTTCAGTACCTTTGGTGACTGCTGCCCAACCATTCAACAGTGTTTGATGTATAGAACAGTATTTTATAATAATAATGAATCTTATATGGCCAATATTATGCCCTCATGTAGGCCTACCTGACCGAGGTCTGGCACCGGCAGAAGTCTTTCTAATTTGGAGAGAAACTCCCACACAAGAAGCTGCATGTCCGCATCATAGCTGAGGCCATATTCTGTGGGGAAAACCTCCTGAGAAGAACAAACATTAACAGCTAGTTATAAAAAAAAAGTTAAAAGGAAGAAGATAAGAAATACATGGATTGGCTACATCTAAGAGCACTTGCCTGGTAAAAATGTTCCCTCTCTGCTGGGTCTTTCAGGAGTGTTTGGGTTAGCTCCACAAAGATGGCCTCTTCTGCATCCACCTCTGCATCCCCACTCTGAAAGAAATCATTACAACTGAGATCTTCGTCACTATCAGACCAACAATAATGATAAAGGATGAAAAATTATGTTGGAAAGCTAACATTTATATTTGATCATCCACTGCATATTTAATGGGTGATTAGAATCATTATTCTGTTTTAGAAGCCATTCTCCCTCTCTACAGAATATGCAGATTAAACTAATCCATACCTCTCACAACCAGTAAAACGTTCCACATGACACTAACAGCAACACAAGCCCTGAATGTGATCAATCCACCGCAGCTACATTACTGATAATACTGATAAAATATGTTGTCTCTGAACGCAGCTTTGCTCATTGCATTCAGAAAGCTCTATTTTAACTCTACCAACAGACTACGCCTGTTTCCAAAATGCATCGCCTTTCACAGTTTGTTATCAGACTTCTGATGCTGGATTTAGAGGTGAGTTCAGATGAAATGTTTCCTCTGCAAGGTCTTCACTCACTGAACTTTTAACAGTAACACAACTTTGGACCTGGACTTTGGACTTGTGCAAAATGGTGCTAACACTTACTCCTGTGTATCCCGGTGGGTGGATTCGCTCTAGGTGAGGCTGTACACACAGGATGTTGGCTGTTTCCTCATTTCTGCACAGCTCAAGTATAACCTGAAGCAACAGGAAGGTATTCATTCAGCTACTGTCACTGGATTACCCACTTGTGGAGTGGAATGCATTTCTGCGCACCTACTGACTCACTCTGGCTCGCAGCCGAAGCAGCAGTTTTCCTCGTTGCTTCGGATTGAGCAGGTCCGGAACTGATGCCGTGACCAGTGTCACAAATTCATCAAGCTTTTCATAGTCGAGAACATCCCTCCGTTGAGCCACCTGCCACATGGCTGCAGAAATCAGCCGCATAGGAGGGATCAGCAGTCTTAGGGATGACAACGGCAGGAATATATCTGATTAAACACACACAGTGGACAGAGTTATGTCTTTTTTGGAAAGTCAGATGTCCTCTTGTGACAGCTTTATAATTTAGCACCAAGAGACAAAGTTACAAGAAAATCATCTGTGAACCCGCTGGTGCACAGGTGCTGCTAAGCTACTGTGGGTATAGATGAAGTCTAGTCTTCTCAAGACGTTGTGAGCCACGTAAGCCTCAACAAAATATTTCACAGGAACTTAAAGAAACATCAGAGAGATGCATGAAAGTGGGAAAAAATGGGTGTTTTTCAGGGTGCTGCCTACAAATAAGTAGATTAAAACACTGCTCTCCAGAGCAGCACTGTAACACATGTCGGGATTGCAAAAAATATTATAAAAAATCCAACCTGTTTTTCGAGATAAAAGTTGAACTTGTTGGCAAAACAGTCCAATAACCTTTTGAGAGTACAAAAGTACTGTTTCTATAATTGGGACTCAGGTGAATTTATGGCCACATATTACAAGCAATCGATTAAAAATTCCCAGTTATTTCAAAATATTTACAAACATTTCCAAGATAGCTTAATGTTGCCATTTATTGAAAGTATATTTAATTACTCACACAATATATCAGAAATAGAAATTTAGTCATGTTGAACAGTATTTGAATATAGCCCAGTTAAATTAGCTAAAAACAGATTAACTAACTTAAAATCATAACACTAAGAACAAATTTACTTAAAAAACAACACGAATACAGTGAACATATTGTATGAACCTAAGTATTAACGGTTAACCCATTAAGTTTTCCATGTTTACATTAGCATAGCTAACTAGAATCACTGCATTTAGCCGCGGTGAGGAGCTAACGCGCACACACATGGGCGGCCTGGCTCGCGGTACCAATGAACGCTGCTGTGACACGGACCTGTGCTCTCCACTGGACCGCTTTCCATAACGCAAACTACACGAATTCCTTAAAAAAAGTCACTAGGAAGCTGCAACCAGCAATTAATTTGCTATTAGCCCTAACGCAATGCGGAAAGACGTGGGCGAATGTGTGATTTCCAAAATAAAAGCATTAACAAGTGCCCAAAAGTGTTAACAAAAAAAAAAAAAAGCCCCGGTCAATTCAAAACATTTAAGTCATTAGCTAAACAGTTGCGCTTTATGTGTCTCAAAAGTGCAGTCACTCCCAGTGGTATAAGAACCTAACACTGTACTCAGATCCTAATAACAGATGTGATGCTGATAAATGAGAAGTTCATCCAACAGATAACAGAATGTTGTAATTTACCAAGTAGACAAAAAACTTTATTTGCAGTGTTTTCCATGTGGAAATTTCCATGGCTTCGGCATTCTAGTATTTCTCCCAACACAGCATTGTTCTTTCATGAGTGAAGGTGGACGCTAATCTTCTGGTGTCCATATGGGTCCCACACCAATTGATCGCATAGCTTGATATGACAATACATTCATTTGGAGATGTCAGATTTATTTACAGGTGATGATCAGGAAAACATGGAAACAAAACCAAAACACTAGGAAGAAGCCAGAAAATTAAACATTATTAATAAAACATGGGTTAATAAAACTACTTAACAACTGACAGTAACAACACTTAAAGTGTCTTAGTAACTTTCTGGTAAAAGCATTTTGTAAGTCCTGATGACATCATTGTGACTTTTCAACAATACAGCACTTCAAATGTTTCTCGCCCCCACAGAAAAACTGATTCCATGGATTAAGGAGGATAGTCCAGTCACAGCAGCTCTGTAGTTCAGATGTTTGTTATGCAGCCAAATGATGTACGACATCCAATCACATGGTGTTAGATTCAAAGCAGGGTTAACATTTCCAAGGGCAGGGCAGGGCGAGCACTCTGCATCTTCAAGCTTCAAAGTCCTGGAACCAACCTTTAACAAAGAGAAGTACTTTGAAAACAAAGTTCTAACACAGGGAACACAAATGCATAATCACAACTACTACATATATACATCTATACATTCTAATCAATAACATTTCCAGCATCTCAAACTGCATAATTAGCTGTTCGTGTCTCAGTGTAGCAGTAATAGAAATAGATTTTGGATATGGAGGGCTGATTGGACAAAACGAGGAGCCGATAACAGAAGAAAATTAGTAACGGGGAAAAGTCACTGCGCTTCTACACCGGATATCTCGTATCATGCACTTCGAAAAGCACATAAAAGCATGACGTTAAATTATTGCATCAAAATTAGCGAAGATAGGCACATGACTTTTCTAGAGCGATAACGGCCCACCCTACACAGGAAGTGTAGAGTGTAAATTCTTAAAAATAGTACAATTTACATTGTAAATTGAAGACCTTTCAGGCAAACGTTGCATAGCTAATACTAGATCCAAGGAAGTGATCTTGAATCTTGATACCAGCTGGCTAACCACTGAATATGAGCTCTCAGAATGGTATTTATGATACAGCTGCATCAATACTAACTTTAAAACTGTTTATTTCAAATTAGCGCTATTTAAATCCCATTTTTATATCAGGCTCGGCAGCTGTGGGACAAAAAAAAGTTAGATAACATCCGTAGCCACCCACTTTTAGCTGGAAACTTCCACGCGCACTCATTCTTACCTTTTAAGGGACTAAGAAATACACGACGAGGAATAACACGAAATCAAAGACCACGAAAGCCCAGAAGTCAAACCAGTAGGAATGTTTCGGTAAAGATATCGGAGCTCCTTTAGATTTAAAGGTTTTAAGATCTTCCTCTGACTCCGTTACAGGAGTCGTGCCGGGTGCCATGTTTGCTATGGCTTCAGTCTCGCGCTCCTGGAAGAGAACACGATAATCCTTCAAAATAAAATCACACCTTTGCAACAACGATTGGTTACTGAATATTATCACCTCATTTCGTCTACTCCTGCGTGTATAGATCTGTTTTCCCCCCTTTGAACAATGTATTTCATATAGCAAGCGCTAGATGCTAAAAAAAAAAAAAATCACAAACATTTTAGGATTAGGCCACCTCATGTGACTGGTCGGGTGACATGAATTGTATAATATATAGTCTGTGACATGATATTTTCACCTAGTTTTACTGCATTCTTACAGCTAATATTTGTGACATTCAATCAATTATATTTTCAATGGACAGCACCTAATTATAAGCATGTTACTTCTCTGGCCTTCTTTGACACACCAGAAACTGAAAAATCCTTCTCAGTTTCAGGGTGGCTGTAGCTCAGGAGGTGGAGCAGGTCACCTACTAATTGGAAGGCTGGTGGTTCGATCCTTGGCTCCTCCAGTCTGCATGTCAAGTATCCTTGGGCAAAATACTAACCCCAAGTTGCTCTCCAATTCATCCATCGGAGTGTGAATGTAGTAGCACGAAGTACAGTGAAAGTGGTTGTGTGAATGTGGCATGTTGTATAGAGCGCCGTCAGTACTCTGGGACAGTAGAAAAGTGCTATATAAGAATCATTCCATAGTTGTCATCTTATAATCTTGTTAGGTTCATCTTTTGTGTTGGACTGTAAAAACTCTTCCTACAAACCAAACTCCAGACTGCATCCAAAGCATATAACATACACACAATTGATATCATCAGAACGTCCTGCATGCAAAACTCTTTAGAGTTAATGCCAACACCTAGCACCATCTTTGTTGGAATTAGTATATGCTGATCTGATTCTAAGTAAAATGTGTTTCATATTCCTTACTTTCACTTGAATATGTTTTTTTTAATTTATATTTTTCTTTTAATTCTTATCATTCTAAGAGACATGAATAAAATAAAATGAACACAAAAGACCGTTTTTGCCTGTGTGACACCAAATACCATTTATTAGGGCTTTACAAAGACTACAAAATCCTCCAGATGAGGTAAATCACTGTCTCTGTCTATTTACATGATATGTTACATACAAATGTACAAAATATAAAACATTTAAGGACAAATGTTTCACCCAAAAAGAAGAAAACGTTCTCTCAAACCAGAGTAAATGCTATGGTTTTCAACTGAGATGTAACTGCAAAGTGTTAAGTGGGGAAAATGTCACCATGGTGTACACTGTTAACAGATAGGTTTGATATGCGGGTGTAAGTCTAGGTAAGGAGCAACCACCCCTTTAGCATGCAACTACACCCCTTTGCCAAAAGAATGTGCGGACCATCAACAACTTGGCTGCGGAGACACGCGTGAAGCTGAACACAGGTAGGATTGTAGAGGATAGAATTGTCCTGAGGTTGTGACAACATGACTTCTTGGTCTCTGGTGAGCTCTGACCAGTAGCACCTGTTGGTTGTTGGTAAATGTTTACAGTACGGTGTCAGATCAGCTTCGGTGTCTCGGCCAACTAGCAAGCCTAACATGGCGGTAAGCTTCAGTTAAAATGTCCAGAGGGGAAGTGTTTCTAATGAACAACTGGGATTCCTAAGATCCAGAAAATATTATGGCAGGATGAGGAATACTGGAGTAAGTGCCTATTTTTTTTCTTCTCCTTTTGTGATTTCAGTGAGTTAAAAAAAAGCTGTTTCTTACTGTACACTGTATGCCTCCTGCATAGGCACAACATCCAATCACCACAAGACACACACCTGTTTCTGACAGCGTGTTGAATTTTGCATTTCTTTTTTTTCTCTCTGTTTTCAAAGTACAATAATTTATTCGGTGGGTTAAGCATATTGGAACATCGACAGGGCAGAATGCATCTTTGATTCACTGTGCAAGACTTAAGTATTTACAACCCAACCCAACCTCAAAGTGTGCAAAACCAACCCACTCGATAAACAAAGAGAGGACAATCAAAAATCTAAATGGCTTCCGTCCAATACACGCATACATAAAGGTAAAGGTCTCCTCATAATGCATCCCCTTTAAAAAGGTTCAAGACATGCTCATCAGGCAAGAACACCTGAAACAGTTTGGTTGTGCTCCTATCAGTTCAAGTGAGCCCAGCTCAACTGGGCACAAAACAACTTAAAAAAATATCCCAACCCCTCTATTATATACTTTTTTAAATGTTCATACAATATTGGTCAAATTCAAATACACTATTCACTCTTTTATAATCTAACTGTCAGAAAGGAGAAAGGGTGCTTTAGAGGGTAAGGGAGGGAAAACAAACAAAAGTGGCTGTTTGTCCCACTGCAAGCAGCATCTTTGACATAGCAGGAAGCATATCAATACTATCTCGTCTTCTCACCAGAAGATGCTTGGAAAAAAACTTTTGAACATTTAAGGCAGTGGAGAAAGCACCAATATCATTGTTCCCCTATTCAGCTCTTTGACTGATCTGGTTAACTTGTATACGGATGCGACAATTTGGATTCCTTTCGGGTACCTCACGGGTAGAAACCGAAGCACATGTCAAAAAAGAATTTCTAATGAGGGCCGCAGAATACCACGCTACTCTGTTAGGTATTACTGAACTCAGGGTCAGCCTACATTGCACCAAACCCTGTGCAGACTGCCAAAAATACCTGGTTACTCCTGTTACAATCCACAGAGAGGGCGCTGTCTGCTCTCTTCACGGTACATTTCAGCTAAACATTGACAGCAGGCCAAGAACAGCGTAATGTAGACTTCTACAACCATGTTCGGCTCTGCATTGTGTTTACATTTGGCAGTCAAATCGAAACAAAACGTTGGCACTTTTCAATTTTTTTCTTCACAGTAGTAGTGAGACTGGATCACACACACAGACAATGCGCTTTCGTTGTGCTTGTTGTCGGCATGGAGGGGGGGGGGGCGAGGAGCGGCTTGGCAGTGCCTGACGCCGACAACATTCAGGGCAGGAGACCAGCACCACGAGGCTCAACTAGTGACTGAGCTGAGGGCAGCAGAGTGTGTTAGTATGCTCCAATATTAGCTACACCCTCGTCATGTTCACAAAAAGCAAAGATATTTTTTAAAAATGGTACAGCGGTGAACAAAATCTACTCCAAACCCAGTAAGGAGCAGGTTTGGTTGACCATAAATGACTTTTACTGAAACCTGATGATTTGTGTGTAAACACACTGGATGTAAAACAGCCTGTGGCCACTAGAGAGCATTACATCACCTGAAAGATAGTGTAAGAGATCAGGGTAGTCAGAAGTGGTGGAGATATGGTACTTTGCTCAAGGACACTGTGGCAGGCTGGGCTGTAGATTAAATGATGGCCTGAACTTTTAAAAGCTTTCATTAACAGAGAGTCTCTCCTGCTGCCTGTGTGCAAGTGCATTCATTTGAGTGTGTGTCTGTGAGAAGCACCTCTGTAAACAAGGAAAGACATACACAACAAAACCCGACCCTAAATGTAAACACCTGAAAATATAACTAGATAACAAAAAATCCAGTTTGATCACGCTGAACTTCTTTCATTTTCTCACACCTAAAATGAAAAGTGTGAACAAAGTGTGATGTTCCTTATCAGACACACTAAAACCTATAATATATATGAAAAGTTGTATTCTTCAAATGTTACACATCCATTAAAAATGACTGGCGAACACTATCCGATGTCAGTAAAATAGATTCGATCTTACGCATATTGTCGTTTACCTTTTTGATCACCGGGGACCAAGTTGAAGACACATCTTTAAGACATAAAATAATCTGATTTAATATTGCACCATCGCTGTGTAAAAATAGGCTTTTTTCTCTCTCAAATGTTGGGTAAATCATTTTGGATAATAAAACTTTTCATATATCATTTGCTAACTATAGGGGTGTCCGGTAGTGATGGGGGTTTGATAGTTCCCAGGTTCTGGGAGGTCCAAGGGGTGCGGGTTAGGGGATCAGTATCTCTTGCTCTCATAGTGCTGACTCCAGTGAAGAGTCTAGCTGGTCGTCATGGTGACTGGTGCTGTCACTGTCGCAGCTCTGCGTGCTGGAGTAGTTTGCTGCCTCCTGCAGCCGTAGCAGCATGTTCATCTGCAACATAACGCAGAGTTAGAATGGAACGGAAAACTAGAGACACTCAAAGCAGGAAAACCTCAGCATTTCATAACTTTAGCAGGGCTCTACTGTTGGCTACTGTTGTGCTCTGATGAGTGTGATAATTCCTACCCTGGTGATCAGCACATTTGCCAAGAGTTTACAAGATAAATCTGAGGACTCTCCAAATGATTACTACAGTTAGGATTTACTGTTGCTAATATTCAAAAGCAGATTTCACAAAATCAATCAAGAATTTTACGCAACTCTAAGCTTGTGGCCCCTGTTTTTATTTTATACCTTGTGAGTCAGTCAGTCTGCGTTACCATGGCAAAATGTGCTCAAGAGATACTGTAATGGTAACTACCACAAAGGTGGCACATAGTACACATAGTGTTTGTAGACACCATAGCATTGCAAATGTGCAAGATGAAGTTATGAAACATTACAGGTTCGTATCTGAGATTAAAACCCAAAGATGTGTGCAGTGTGACTCTTGTGCAAAAGATACTGGAAGCAAACTGGCAGTCTGACCTTTCACCTAATACATCATAATATTTTCAAAGGTTGGGTATCATTACTAATGTGATCTACTCTTTCTTTGACTGTATTTTCCATTTTCACAATGTAAGGAATGAACAACTGCTAACTTCCAACACCTCAATGCAGTGACCCTCAAACCTTCTCTGTTTATATTCTCCATGTTCTTAAAAAAAGACAGAAAACCTTGTGCTAAATAGCCCGCAATAAAACAGCAGCACTTTTCATCCCTGCAATAGAGCTAATGGTCTAAATAATGCAGGAGTGTTGCTACATCTGGCGCGTCACTTCAAGTGTTCCTGAAATGAGCTGTGGCACACCTGTGCTCCAAATGCTCACACGTGGACACACACACATATTTGTTAAATCAAGCCAGTTGTTTTTGGGTGACTAGTCTTTATATCCTTTTGGGCTGCAATAATGATGATGAATTCTCTCTTTCCACCATTTCCTGCCTCGTCTTCCAACCCTCCGTCACGTTAAGCATCTGGTGTGTGTGTGGGTGGGTCACTGTGGTACTGAGGAGCATTCTCTTCTCAACCTTTCCTTCTTTTCTAATAGTGCTGTGTGGTACTGCAAATAGTATCAGTCTGATACCAAGTAGATCCAGTCAGTATGGCTACTACTGACACTGATACTTTTAACTCATAAAGCTTAGAGACAGCAGTTTGTCATGATTTATAAATAAGTTACATCATCAGTAAACATATGCAAACATATTGTCATAATATACATATGGGCTATAAATAAAATAGAATAAAATAAATAAAACACAGAAAAAAAGCTCAGACATTTTCCATAGTGCATGTCTGAGGTGTATTTTTTCATTTCCCAAAAAATATTTTTCTGTACTTACAGGACAGAAATAAAGTATCGATACTGCGATGATGGTATTGATCTGATACCAACACCAGCGTCAGCATCGATGCTATCAGCCCACTTAGCTTTTTTCATTTTCATTTTGTTCTGGTGCCAATGTAAACGACATGTTCATTCATTTGTTAGAAATCAAGTATTGACAAAATGCAACCTGTAGGTTATCAACAGCCGCTGGTAATAATTTATCAGTCCCATGAGTCTGTACCTCTTTATGAGGCCACGTCAACAACACCCAAACACTGCCTGAGCAATGACTACTCGCAGCATTGACATGAACATTCATGCTCTACAAAGAACTTGCTCCATCAGCTTTCTCAGCATTCATGTTTGCTCTTTTAATTCTTAGTCACTTAAAAAACTCTGAGAACATCCTTTGTCTTTTGTTCCTCACCAGTGGGTCTCCCTCAGTGTCACTCTGAGACACTTGCTTGGATGAGGCGCCCTCCTTGGACAAGCTGTATCCATCATATCCCACGTCCTCCGGCCTCAGCTGGAGCAGCGACTGCCCGTCCTGCTGCAGTGAGGCGGCGTTCCATGGATATGTGTCATTCACCCACTTGGATGGATCTTCCCATGCAGCTCTTTTGCCGTACAGCTGCAAGAAAGGCAGAAAAGGGAGAGAGGTCAATCAAGCTTTCTTTTTTAATAAAACACTGTTGTTCTAATCTTATGATGGTAAAGATTTATGGTCACAGAGACTAAAACAGTTTGCCACTCTAACCTACAATTTTTTTTTAGCATTGTGTGAAGTGACATAAAAATCAGACACTGTGGTGATGATAATTTCTTTCTCAGTTTTATTTCTCATCTCATGCCATTTTAACATTCATGCCAGCCCTATGGTGCATGACAAAATGGTCCGGCAGAACGAGAACCCCCTTAGATGAAAGTAAAAGCGTAGAAGTGTTTTAACACTGCTAATTTCATCTGGACTAATGTGTCCTTTGTAATAGAAATACTGGTAAAATCCTGTTATGCAGGGTTAAAAATGTTGAAATTTGATCTCAGCGTTTTCTCTCACAGTAGCAGCCAGCATTCATTCACACAGACAATGGCACACATTAAAACTTGTGCAGTTAATGAGGCAGCAGTGCAGATGTGTTAAGGCTTTATTTTACTGCATACTTCCTTTTGTTTGGATTTTATTAGATGCTGTTATATACTAACCTGAAAAAATGTGTCACTTTAATGTTCTTTTTTATTTTTAGCATTATGCTGTAAAAAGATTTATTGGTGAAACCACACAGTTATGTTTTATCAGGTCCTACCTGCAGTCCTTCCCTGACAGCCTCTAGCAGGTAGGGCACCAGGGAGTAGTTCCACAGGTCAGTGAACCAAACCCGAGAACCCTCTACATCCATGGGACAGGACAGGAACAGACGAGGGCCTGTAGGGACAAAAAAAGAGAAAGAGGATGATGAGTGAAGCAAAGATCAGTGACATGGTGCACAGTTAAAACTAATGAGCTGCCGAAGAGACGACATACAGAAAAACTTTATATTACTGCAGACTGGAAAATGAGGCTCAAGTTTACGTTATTGTTACCAGGTCTGCATATTTTCTGCATTGCATTACTACACTGAGACAGATAACACCTAAAATAAGGCACAACAGAGATTTCAGTGTTAGACAAACAGCACACACACTAGTGTGTGTGTTTTTGTTTGTGTGTGTGACACCTGACCTATGGTAACATCGGAGGAGCTGTGTGCCTCCAGGAAGCTGTTGAGGTGCTGCCAGGTTTTGGGGATCCAGTCAATGATCTTAATCAGGTCATTGCTGCGCATATTCTTATCAATCTCTGTCTCAATCAGCTTCCGCCGTAGGAAGCGCCCCAGGAAACCTTTGACTGGTTCAGTGTGGTTGGTGCACAGCACCCACCTATGATAGGACAGATGATCAATGGCCAAACAAAAGCACAGAAACAAATCAATCAGCTCAACATCAAATCCAATTTCTCATCAAAACATCTCAGTTTAAACATGATGTGATAGCGTTTCTTCCATCACAGTTTGGATCCCATTCTGTGTAACTATAATAGAGTCATATTAAATTAATTTCTGGCTCATGTTAATCTCTTTCTAATCATATTGTATTTGTCCAATCATCAACTAGTCAAACATGCCAAGCAGAAATGATCCTCACTCAGAACAGGCATCACAGCCTATTAATTCTCATTTAACAGGACTAATTATCCAGGAGACATAATCAGAGCACTCCCTGTGGAAGAATTCATTTATGATCTCTGAGACGCAGAGTATTGCAACCAAACAGATCCAAAGCTCGGCAGGAGGACAAGTAAAAGTACAAATCATTTCTCTTTTGGAGAACTGAAGGAGCTTTAAAACACAACACAATAAAAGTAAGGTATACAAGTGAATAAGCAATGTTGCACAAAGAATAACAGAGCCAAATGTGTCAAACCTGAAGTTGTGATGCAGCTCGAGGTTAGGAGACGAAGACACCCCCTGATTCATGGTCCCAATAACGTAAGGGCTGGACAGACAAACACATGCGATTACTCAGAGTGCTTAACCGAGAGAAAAATGCAGAGTTTTTAATACATAACGTTTAGATATGTTATTATAGTGAGTTTACAACTTGACTTGAGTGGGCACGAGCATGCTACAAACCTGCATGTACTAGCTGTTCTTTCCTTTTGCCTATTAAAGGTTTTTTCATCCCATATTTGAATCCAGCTTTCAAGAACAGAAGCTGAACAGACTAAAAATGCTGAGAGGCAAAACTTGTGACATCTGAATTTAGGCTGTGAAAATAAAATGGACTTGACCTGACTAGAGCTGTGAGTGACAGTAGGACTTGTCCCTGCAAGGCGTTTCAGCATAGAGGAGAGGAAAATTTCTGGCTCACCATTTGTGATACTTGCAGTTGAGAAAGCCATTGAAAATGTCGCTGAGGGAGCCGATATGGTGGAGGTTGTCCAGGATGACCACAGTGGGGAGCTCTGTGTCCGTGTCCTCAGAGTTACACTGCTCAGCCAGGGTTGATAGGTACTGACGCAGGTCCTGTGTAGAACAAAAATATTAATTCATTTGTGATATAACACTAATTGGACAATTTTTAAATGCAATGTAACAAGTCCTCATATTTCTGTATAAAATCCATATGACATGCGCCACTAGCAAATCTGTATATTACATACAGATTTCTACCCTTCTGGATAAACTTTTATGCTTAAACTATGAATTATAATGACTTGTGACTGGTCAGAAACAGCATTCAGTAAATGGAGCAGGCATTGATGACAACAGATTGATGGGGTCAGTATGAAAGGAGGAGGTGGGCAGCAACAGTGGACAGGCTAAAGCAGCTTAAATAGTGCTACCTATATCAGTTTTTCCTGATAGGCAGGTAGCTGATCTGCCACAATCGTGACTGAGCTTGACTTTGTAGCCTTGATAAGCTAAAAAAAAAAAAAATCTTGTTCTTCATACCTTGCTGGAATTCTGGTCGACATTAAAGCTGGCCACATTGTGCTCCGTCACTTCCTGCCCCATGTGGAAAATGATGTACTCAGCCAGTTTGGCAGCCAGAAAGGATTTACCGGTGCCACTGGGTCCTGAGAGGATGATCCGACGGTGCTCCATCAACAGGTTGAGATATCGCTGGATGATGGGCTTCGGGATGAGAGTGTCAAACACGAGACTGTCTATGCTGTTCTCCTTAACACCTGTAATGAACAAGGAAGGAAAGAGGAAAGGAAAATATGAATATTATACAGCAGACTGGAAAATGAGGCTCAAGTTTACGTTATTGTTACCAGGTATGCATATTTTCTGCATTGCATTACTACAAAATCTATAATCCACAAATAAAACGTCCCAGCTGACTCACCTTTAAGGTTGACCTTGATGATGTTGTTGCCACCCACCAGGTAGCCGCAGGGCAGCAGCTCAGGCACTTCAGAGGCGTGGGAGCGAATCACCTCACCCATCCTGTAGCAGACAATGCTGTCTGAGCTGAGACCCAGGCTGGTCAGAGGATCCACGCGGAACACATACTCCTGCAGCGAGAGTGAACAGTGGAACTTTAACAACTGCACAATCAGCCAAGTTTACAAATCTCTCTGTGTTGTGAGGGCTTTTTTTTTAAAGTCATTTAAATATGAAATCAACGATGACAACAGGAGCTTTAATTTGCACAGATTCATTACTGAGATGATTTATTACACAAGCTAGTCCTCTTACAAACTACAGCAAGCTCAGTAAGGAACATCTGTCATGTGGACAAATGATTTCTGCTTACTTTAAAGAGGCGTCGGATAACCCCATCCAGGACATCCCACTTGGTTTTCCCACTCACACCTATAGACCCAATCAGGTACTCCTGGCTTTGTGTACCCTGAGGAGTTACATACATGTATTACATATAGCAATATAGCCTAGAACCTCTCAGAGTTTAATACAGTGGTTTTCCTGGAGGAATCATTCACAAACCTTGGTAATATTTGGCCCACTGCTGATGGTAACCACTATTCGCACACTGCGGCCCTCTTTGCGTAGGTTGCCCTCATAGCTGTCATCGAGGAGAATATCTGAAAATAAACCTTAATGTTAGAAGGAAAAACCAGCTTGAATCTGTCAGAATAAACAAACTCTTGCTCTGCCTGCCAAAAAATATAGCTAGAAACACACAGACTCCAAAGTAAAATGCAGCTATCTTTAATGTGATAATTACATTTAGTCGGGGTTCTCATACACTGATTTTTAGGAAGTGCACAGAATGATAATGTATGAGCAGAAATGAAAGGCGAGTAAAGAAATGAGAAATTGTTCAGTGGAATGAGCTCATTTGAGTGTTTCTAGCCGAAGAATTGTTCATCCATTCACGAAGGATGTGACAGAAGAATGGGATGATGGGATGATGTGACTTTTGCCACACTATTAACAGCTCCCCTCCTAAGTCTTAATCGTTCTCTTTTTTCTCAGGTTCCATTTTGGAGAGAGGAAGGGGGTACTTTGTATTCGGCTGGCTACCCTTGGCAGAGGGCTCTGTGCTCGGGTGATAACAGCCCACTGGCCCACTTGCCTTCCCATATGTCGCTGCTCTTGGCTCACCGGACGTTCAGGTAATGAGAGGCTAGGTCATCAGAGGGGGCCGTGCCTTCTAAGTTAATTACAGTCCAAGTGAGAGGGACAAAGTTTTCCAGCTCTCAAAAGGGGCAGGCCTGAAGAGATTGAAGAGTGTTTATGTAATAGGTCCTGCTTGGCTGCAAACCCCCACAGCAGGGAGGGGCAGATATTTCATCATTTTAATGCAGCTCATCCGGATCATTTCTCTCCACAAACACAATTCTCTGGCATTTATTGAGGCAAGTATGAAGAGAGCTAATCCAACTTGATGCTGCACAAAAACACGAATTACTGCAGACTATAAACGATGTCCTTCAGCATCACCAGACACACAACTCCTACACTTACTTCTCAAATGAGAAGTATGAATACAATCTTGATGATGAATACAACCTTTCTGAAAGAAGTGCCTTTTATAATCAAAAAACATATCTAGTTGTATCCTTTTTGTTTCTTTTTTTCCAGTTATCCACCCTCCCACTGCATTCACTGCCCAGAACAAACTGCTGGGTGCAATGCTGCTACACAGAGACACCTCAGATCGACGGGCTGCAGAAACCAGCAGTGACGCTGAGCTCACCTGACATGATGGTGTCTGTGATGTTGAGGTTATTGAGGGACAGCCCCAAGGACTGACGTGAGGAGGATGAGGAGGTGCTAGAGGTCTCAGAGGGTGGCCGGGCTGTCTTCACGGGTGTGGCTGTCGGTGTTGCGTTACCGCTGGACTTCAGGCGATCATTTTCTGCTTTCAGCGTCTCAATCTCATTCTGTGTGTTGCAAATAAAGAAAATCATAGCAAATCTAACAGAAACTGCTTTTAAAGACACTGACTGATAGGCTCCTCCAACAGCAGATGGTCATTTCCTGCATTGTTGTTATTCTGAATCAGTATCACTGGAATTATAGGCTGTAGGCAGCTTTTTGATCTTCGAGTCTTCTTTGTACTGAAGATTAAGTCTCAGATAAGGAATTGGACATGATCCCCATCTGACAGGGAAACTATACGCAGCCCACATTCAGAGGCATCCACTTAACTGAGACATCCAGAGTGACACAGGATATTCTTTAATATGTGTTCCTTTGAAAATTTGAAAGTCACAGCATCTGTGTACACTATGCTTTGAAAGGATGATTTCATTACACTGCATTAGGAGTACTGGAATAAATAATGGGAGTTTGTTTTCATGGAGAAACTCCCCTTTTTAAAAATTCAGCTTCATGGAAAAGTAAACAATTGAATTCCACCTTCATGAGGTGTTTTCCCCTCGAGAACCTAACTTTATCAACAGATATTTGATAGGAGTCTGTTTGCAGTACGTTAGAGGCTATGCTGGGTTGCAGGTAAAGATTAGTGGAAAGCAGAAGAGAAATGCTTTGGCACACCGACAAACTCAAAATCATCGACTATCATCTGAGAGCTATTTAGCTTTTATCAGCTTTTTACTTTATCTGCATTCATAGCTGGACAGCAAACAACGACCGGTGGAACAGGAAGTCTTGGCCTGGATATCAGTTATTAATCATCAGAGAACAGAGGATGGCTTTCCAGACTGCTTAAAAATAGAATGACTGTTCTTTGATGATTAGTGCCTGTTTGGAGGCTGCTGGAAGTTTTTGCATTTCCTAAAGTTTATATCCTAATAGGACTTGATGTAATGGTTGGACTTTTCTGATTTAAGCTTACCTTCTTTCTTGCATAGCATTAGATGAAAACAACTAGTACCACGATCAAGTACCAATAGCAGTTTTCTGTTGCAGGTAGTGGAGGGTAAGTCATGCGGAGTATTTCTCAGTGTTGTTTACCTTGATGCAGATGTCTGGAAGGTGTGCTCCTCACAAACTAGAGTGAGATTTTGCAATCTGCATCTAATTTCAACTCACCATGCTCATTGCTGTCTGCACTATTCCTCCCTCCAACATTTTAACACTTGTCTGCTGACCAAATAACAGATTATGCTTTAACAGCAAGACATGTCTGGTTTGCATTGGCAGGAAGTTAACACACCTCTCACCTATCACTGGAAGAAAATCAATTAACAGCAATATGTGTTCATTTTAATGTCAGTGTTTTGCCCATCTCCAGTGGCTCCCTGTGGCCACTTTAATTTTTTAAATTCTCCTGAACTTTAACAGCAGTTAAAGCAGATTTCATCAGATTTCAATTATTTAAAAAAAAAGTATTTAGCAATTGAAGGAAAAAGCAGGTTGAATTCACAGCCAGACTGTTGGCTTGCTGACATGCCTGATATTAAAATGCAACTGGATGATTTCTTTTTTACTTTTAGTATTCTTAAAATTATTATCCAAGTAAGATACTTGGATTTTAATTCATTTGCACAAAGTCAGGTAAAATTCAAACTGTCAACATTTTAAGAGTAGGTCTAACAGATATAATCACTTCATTCTATTTCTACAATTTCATAATGTCTGTATTATTGTTTTGTGACTCTATGCAGATTGTTGTTGGTGAAAAACTGCCAAAAAATGGCTCTGCTGTTACTAAAGCTTGCAGACCCCAGTACTAGGAGCTGAAAAATAAGACATCAAGCACAAAACCTGAAAGTTTGTTGTTTTCACTTCATCACTTAAATCACTTTAAGCATATTTGCACTGCACAAGGCATAATGTGGATTGCACAACACTGGTCACTATATTCTTCATT